GCTATGCCATTATAAATATATATTTAGACATTTAATAATTTAGTTTCGGTTTAAAACTAGATAAGAATTTATATCTACATTTCATCAAAAAATGTAATAAAATAAAATACAGATAAGCGCTATAATTATATGAAGTAATTTGAAAATGTAGCGCGGGCCAGATAAAAAAGGTACGCGGGCCGCCAGTTGCCCATCCCTGGCTTATAGGACTCCACCAATAACTCAAACTAGAAGGCTTAATTTTCTATCAACTCTATATATATAGGTATTCAAATTGGACAGCCTTAGTTTTTCATTATTAATATAAACATTGAACTAAATTTCAGACAAATATAAAAAATCACAGCTTAAATTAACAGTAGTATTTCAAGGATGGTCAAGTTTAGTCCTGAGACCTCTTACTTTTTGGTAAGTGACATATAAATTTAAAAATTTAATTTAGAATTATTTTCGTATTTTTCCAACAATTTGATGATCTTGGGTATGTTTAACAAATTTAATTGTAAGGCCTTGTTCCCTACTGCATGGACGTGCGTGTAGATAACTCTGTATATGCATATGAAAGTGCTCAAGTACGGGTATTTCAGTATTTTGTCTAATACTTTGAAATACGAATACCCGTGAGACTACAACGTTCATATGCGAGTGAATAGCATGGAAGTAGTTCTAAGTATATAGAATATGCTCGGGAAAGTTGGGCCGATGTTCTATTGGTGGACTGCTCAAACGCTCATCTCATAGGTTAACATGGTAATAATAATATTTATGTATATATAATGAAGCATATAGCAATATTATGTCGTGTTATGTAATATGGTATCGTGGTTAACGATTTTATTAAAAGTGTACGGAACAGGAGCAATTCTGGAACTGCGCAAAACACCATAATAGATCCGACGAGAGAAACGTGCGGTTCTTCAGTTGCCGTAGATCCGGAAGTCCGGAGGCGAATAATTAGCACAGCCGCWGCCCCGCGTTCTTATTGTCGAAGGCAACTAGACAAAATAAAGTAACGTGGATAGACGCGACAGATTACGTACGGTGTGACAGTGTTCGGTGGTAAACTGGTAAGTCGCCCATCACTCGCTTTTTCTAAGGTCCAGCGACAGTATACAAGTGCGAAAACCATATAGAGTGTATCAGTGGAATGGTAATTCGGTGACCGACGATTCCGCAGCATCACTTTTTCAATCCACGTTTTGTTATTTTTATTTTGTTGTTGTTGTTATTGTCATCGTCATCACCGCTGCTTTCGTCGCATAGGGTACTAGCCGCTCGACGAGTATCATCATTCTTGAGACTGCTGCGTCACACAGCACCTCTTCTGATACAATCAGCTACCGGAACAGTCAGCGATAATATTTTGTAGTGATGACTGATGATGTAGGTATGACCAAGTAGCCCACTAATGATCATGTCAACATCTGCACCGACTATGCCGTCGTGAAAGCACCGTACTTTTGATATGACATCTTGTCCAAAGTTCTTTAATGTTTTTTTTTATACATTTTATAACTTTTATTTACTGATATTTTGCCATTGTACGAACCACTAAGTTTAAAAATTTTAAAAATGTGGTTGATCTTTGAATCACGCGTTTGAGACAATAATAAAATTACTGTTTGTGTAGTGGCGCGCATCGTAGGTATTTTTCTTAAAATATTAATAATAGTTTATACGATRAGCTGTAATTAACAGCTAGTTAACGAGTGGGCGACACTTCAAATACTGACAAATAATGTAACTAAAAACTTCTTGGTGAATAACCTACTTTTGTGCAATTCTTAGTTCTTGATATAAATATTGTACAACAACAATTAATACAATAATTAAACAAACAGATTAGTGACGGCAATACAATAACAAGAATTTCTGTACAGTACCACAGTCGGGCATGTTTTTTATTTTAATAAATGTCAAAATGTTTCGTTCGAATAAAGTGGATAACACACTAGGCGATTCGAACGCGCGTTTCGAACGTCGCGATTAATCGCCCAAAATTAAACATATACTTTTATATGGGCTTATTCACACACGTAAATGAGACGCGCGTTCGGTCGCGTTCGTATGGCGTTCGAACGCGCCGAAACGTTCATGTTTAATTTTGAGCGTTCGATCGCGATCTTCAGCTAAAATTAAACAATATTTTTCCAATG